GCAGCAATTTACCATTGGCAAATGATAAGTTTTTAGTTAACAGAAACAAAAACGTTATTAGAAATTATATATTAATTTTTGAATATATCTAGCTTTAACATTACCTTGTTTATTTTATAAACAGATTATTATTTATTCAAACTACAACACACAAATGCATACACATGTATGGTACAGTACAATGATACAGTGAAATCTAATCTGTATGTATGATGTATGGTCAAAGTTTCCACTTCTGTTACTCTTTTTAGCTAAGGAAGTTCATTACAGTTTTACTATTTTTCATTTTATTATTTACAGAATAAAGAAAAATATGTTAATATGTTTGTTTAGTTAAAATAAAAACAGGAAAACTGTAATGTAACTTTTTAGCTAAATAACAAGAGTGATAAAAGTTGAAACAATGGTCAGGAGAATATCATTGATAACCTCATTCATATGTCATACAAACTGACCATATTATATATATGCACATGTAATGGAAGTTGTTTAGTATACATATTAACTGGTTTAAAACCTAGCAAACCAAAACAATGTTACTATATTATGCATTATATATATATATATAATGCATAATGTATGGTCTTAATTTTCTGTTCATTTGCAACTACAAAAAACATCATAGTTATCATTTTTTTTTGTAAATTATTTAGCTTCTTAGAATACATACTTCTTTTTAAATGATGCTGGTTATCTACAGGCTTTTGATTATTTGAGAAATTTTATAAATTACCTTTTACACACACATTTAGTAAGTTTGATGGTTTAATGTTATATATGTTTATGTACAGTACTGTACATGCATATTTATATTAAGTATCATTTTGTGAAATGAAAAAAATATATAGTAAAAATTAAAAGCATTCTAGGTATCAAGTCTTATATCTCAAATTAAATAAAAATAAAATTTTTTTTAAACTGTTGTGTACCATTTAATAAATAAATTTGAAAATCTCTTAAACTTACACAGAATTTAAGAATACTTACCATTAATATTCGTCTATATGTATCTCTGTCAATAGCCCAAAGTTTGACATCTGTTTTAGCCTAAATGATTAAAGAAAGTTAATTTCCAATTGTAAAATCTAAAATATTTTTATTGTTAAATTATTTTTACAAAAAAACATCAACTTTCACAGTAATTTAAATAATTTCCTCTAAATCCTGTATATTTAACTTTAACCACCATTTTCCTAATAACAGTGATTAAAAAATTATAATCTAAGAGAATGACATACACAAAAAATATTTATATAGGATATTTTATGCACACTTTTCAAATAAAAATTTATTATTAATCAGGCATATGGCTATTTTGAAACTATGTTTGCTTGTATCTATGATGAATATTTTCCAGTCATTCTATTTTTGATGTACAATTATTATTAACAAATGAAAAAAAATTGACAAAATTATCATAACATCATCAGATTGCCAGGATGCAATTTTTAATCATATTTTATAATTTAAACTAAGCTTTCTACATCTGATTTTGGTTTTATTAATGTCTTGCCCCTATATATTATACTTCTGAAATACAATAGTGTCATGCCAGTCATCTATTTAGCTCCAAGTTTAATGAATGACAACAGAAATTATAGGTCTACAATTTAAAAATTGCAGCCCATTATCCAGTGACACAAAAAAAATTTTGAATCATAAAAGAAATTTATTAAGAAGTAAAAGTTTATCTAAGGAACAATGTAGGAGGCTTAAATCATTGATTAAGTTTGTAAAAAAAAAAAAGCTGTTAATTTGGAGATTAAGAATTATTATATTGAAAAGTTTGATAATTGTTTCAGTTGTAGAACTGTGAAAGTTACTAAATGACTTATCTAGAAAGTATATACAAGTTACTTATCTGAAAGATTAGTTTTGAAAGTAAATAGATAAACCTTTGCAATTACAATTTTTATCTATATAACCACTAAGCTATAGAAAACCATTACTATACAGGTAATGTGTTGAAATAGTTGTTAAAATGTAAGATTTTCACACTGGATAACATCTTACATGTAAACAACCATTTCAACAGAAAAAGTAACACATTTAGAATACCAGTTTTAAAATTTAAAAACAGTCTTTCCTTAAATTTTCATTACCTTAACTGTTGCAGCCCGAGGAGTTCCATAGATGAGAGCCAATTCTCCAAAGCTGCCTGCTTCTCCAATAGTTGTGACAAGTTGACCATTTACAAAAACCTAAAAATTTTTAAAAATAATATTCAATGTGCTCTACAAGACTAAATTAATTTTGTTCTTATTACCTTTTTAATAAAACAAAATACATAATTACAAAAAATAAATCTGATTACACATTATGCTAATAATCTGTTACAAATAAAGTAAAATGTTTAAAAAATTTAGTGTAAGAATTTCAGTAATAAAAAATTTGTCTGAACATATAGTATTTTATCAATAAAACATTGTTTTTAAAATAAATTTATTATTTTTATATCTTTAAAAATTATAAATGTATATTAAAAAATTATCAATAAACAAATACACTAATTTCTATGGAAAAAAGTCATATGGTATTCTGATACTGTAATCATATTATTTATAATAAGCATTATCTTCTAAAAATTCATTATAAAATTAAGCTGCTGTCAAGATAAATAATATACTTTAGTTCAATGTCATTGATAGTCAATTCTTGAAACTAGGGAAAGAATTAAGATTATCTTATTTTAATATATTGTACAGTATTCTTTTATCAGGTATATTAACTTCTAATTAGAATAATATAACTAGAAATATGAAAACAATTGTTTCGCAAAGAAATAAGTAATTGAAAAAAAACAACATATTATTATTGGTAAAATGTCATACCCCTTAAGCCCATAACCCAAGATATCTTGGGCAAGTTACATAGTGTTACATAAAACACGGTCCTTAATTAAGAGGAGTTTTGAAAAAAAATTTTTTTTTTGAATTTTTGGAATGTTTTTTAAGTCCCCAAATTTTTTCAAAATTTTTTGCCCGTGCGAAAAAATTTTATCACGATTTTAATTAGCCTTTGATGAGGCTTGAGTAAGGCTTAATTGTTTTTTAATGAGTTTTTTTTATCAAATTTAATTAATCGTTCTAAAGTTGTAGTGCATGGATTTGACATCGGTAAAGTTATTTAAAGCTGCTTTCTGATGTCAAAAACGACCTCCAATAGTTTTTAAATTTTTTTAATTAATATGTTTTATTTTATATAAATTTAATTAATTAGGGGGGTTGAAAATCGCAATAAAATTTTTAATTTTTTAAAAATATTTAAANTCTTGAAACTAGGGAAAGAATTAAGATTATCTTATTTTAATATATTGTACAGTATTCTTTTATCAGGTATATTAACTTCTAATTAGAATAATATAACTAGAAATATGAAAACAATTGTTTCGCAAAGAAATAAGTAATTGAAAAAAAACAACATATTATTATTGGTAAAATGTCATACCCCTTAAGCCCATAACCCAAGATATCTTGGGCAAGTTACATAGTGTTACATAAAACACGGTCCTTAATTAAGAGGAGTTTTGAAAAAAAATTTTTTTTTTGAATTTTTGGAATGTTTTTTAAGTCCCCAAATTTTTTCAAAATTTTTTGCCCGTGCGAAAAAATTTTATCACGATTTTAATTAGCCT